CCTGGGGGTGAGGGTGCTGGAGCCCGTCCAGGGAGAGGCTTCTGGGACAGGTGGCACAGAGAGCAGCGTCTCAGCAGGGTGACGGAGGCAGAGGGCTGCGCTGATGAAGCAGGGGTGGCAGGGGGAAGCTGGGCTCACACTCACCCCCCGCCCCCCTGCTGGCCGTAGGTGCTATGTGAGCACTACTGACCAGCCAACCCCACCTCCGTCACCCATGGGCACATCATCGTCCACCTCCTGGCAGAGGAGCTGGAAGAGGAGTGGACCAAGTAGGAGTTTCAGCTGCAGCACGTGCATGCCCCGGGGCGAGGCAGGGCATTTGAGTGGAGACCCTTGGGGGAGGTGGCCTCACCTCCTGGGTCCCCTGGCTTCCTTCCTCCCGGGGAGGTTGGTGGCTGGGGAAGGGGCCCGGAGGCACAGGGCAGGCTGAGGGTTCACCTGAAGTCACAGCGAGTCCAAGGCAGAGCGGGCTGAGCAGGGGAGGTTTCTGCCCTGCCCCGCGCTAAGCTCGGGGCCCCCGCCTCACCCCAGACGCCTGCACCCCATCCGCCTTCCCAGGCTGTGACCTCCGGGGGTGGTATGCCCTCTGTCTGATCATCCCAAAGGCAGCTCTGGATGTGGGGAGGCCCGGCCTGCCCTCGCTCTGATGAAGGGAGCGAGGGCTGCAGGGGTCCTGGGTTCGGAGGGGAGGAGAAACAGCGAAGCCCCCTGCTGCCCCATCCCCAGGCTGCCCAGCAACCAGCACGGAGGGTGAAGCAGCTGCAGTTTACCACCTGGCCCGACCACGGCGTCCCCGAGACCCCCAGCTCCCTGCTGGCCTTCGTGGCTCTGGTCCAGGAGCAGGCCAGGGCCGCCCAGGGCACGGGGCCCCTCCTGGTGTACTGCAGGTGAGGGCGGGCAGCGGGGTGCGGGGGCCGGGGAGGGCTCCCCTTCACCGCCCTGGGCCTCAGTCCCACAGCGCAGGCGTGGGCCGCTCCGGCACCTTCGTGGCCCTGTTGAGGCTCTTGCGGCAGCTGGAGGAGGAGCAGACGGTGGACGTGTTCCACGCAGCATACACACTGCGGCTGCACCAGCCCCTCATGATCCAGACCCCGGTGAGGGCACAGCTGGCCAGGCCGGGCAGCCGGACCCTGGGAGGAGATGGGGGTAGACGGCTGGGCCACAGGCTCGGAGGGGCCAGGAAAGGGCCCTGGGGAGGGGCTCAGTCACCTGACCACCAGGGC